TTATAAATAATGATAAATTAATTTATAATATAAATAATTTATAATATAAATAAAATATAATAAAATATGATAGATCTGGTTGATTCCTTGTTCACTGTCTTGAAAAAAATATTTTTAATTTATAATATAAATAATGACAGAAATAACATACTAGATCAATTATTAATTATGTATATACTTCAAAAACTCACTGCCATCGATGCCGACTCATAGCAACCCTACAGAACAGGGCAGAACTGCTCCGGCGGGTTTCAGAGATTGTAACTCTTTACAGCAGGGGTCTTCAAACTACGACCAGTCGAGGAGATTTATTCGGCCCACAGGGTGTTTTTGCCCTGTTTTGTTTTTTTACTTCAAAATAAGATATGTGCAGTGTGCATAGGAATTTGTTCATAGTTTGTTTGTTTTTTAACTATAGTTCGCCCTCCAACCAGTCTGAGGGACAGTGAACTGGCCCCCCATTTAAAAAGTTTGAGGACCCTGCTTTACAGGAATAGAAAGCTCCTTTCACCCCCAAAAGCGGCTGGTGGTTTTGAACTGCTGACCTTGCAAATAGCAGTCCAACACATAACCACTGCAGTGCTAGCGCTCCTTGTACATATTTAATAAAGAGTACATTTATAAATTATTCATTTCTCTTAATTTTTATAGTTTACACTCACCTTCTTATTACATGTGACAGGCAAATTACCAACAAACACAGTTCTCTCATTTTTTAATCTCTCTTCTTCTTGGCTGAGTTGTATTTTCTTTCTTTGATTTACAGCTGAGTGATCTATACCATCAAGTACTTTTCTATCTGCTGCTTTAACATCATTACACGATTGAGAGCTTTTCCTTTTCTTCCCCTGTTTCTGGTGAATTTCTTCTTCCAGATCAGCAAATGTTAGAGCACTTTCCCTTTTTAAGGCAAAACAAGTGTTAGAAATAAAAGCCAGGGAAGTAATCTCTAACAGATGACAATTTTTAAACAGATACTCTCCATGATTAGAAATGCTTCCCAACTACTCTAGCTTTTCTAAATCTCAATTCAGAAATACACAACTCAATCTAAAAATTAAAAGCAACATCTAAAAAGTGGCTAGAATTATTACAAACAAACTTTTCAATTTGAAAGAGGAAAGGTTAAGCTCAATTTTTAAAAAACATACTAAAACTTCCAGGTGAAGCACATGTACTACTGCACTATTTTAAAAGGTTGCTCAAAAATAAATAAATAAATAAAAATAAAGAGGTTGCTCAGGGATCTAAAAGGATCATATACCTATAAAATATTGTCTTTGTAACACTAATATGTCCAATAGGAAATAGACAGATTTCCTGCTTATTTACGTATTGCACTGATAACTGCAAGGTCAGCAGTTCAAACTCAGTCACTTAGGCAGGCTGCTTCCATGAAGATTTAAGCCTCAGAAACCCAAAGGGGCAGTTCTACTCATCTGATAGGGCTCCTAAGAATCAGAATCAACTCTATATGAGTGGGTTTAATGATTCTGTAATATTTAAAGGACTGCTTATCAAATATAATACATTCTGAAACAGCAAGTTCAATGTAAAGTATTGACTCCCATGGGTAGGTACGTATATGTATCAGTCCAAAAAGAGAACTGGGTGGGACTCTTAGGGACTGAGGTGGGAGAATGGGCAGCAGGGATCATAAGATGATTAAATAACTCAACAACCATTGTATTCCTATTCTGGCAAGTTTCTGAGGATATAATGATAAAGACACAATTGAAGGCTTTTCAACAGTGCTCACCACTGTTGTAGAGTGCTATCAAGTCAATTTTGATACATAGTGACCCAATGTGTAAGAGTTAAACTACATTATAAAGTTTGTTGTTTTGCTGTAATCTTTATGGAAGTAGAACATCAGGTCTTTCTCCCAGAGCCACTGGATGGGTTTAAATGGACAACATTTAGGCTAACAGTTAAATGCTGAACCATTAAAAACCAAGTCTACTTCAGTCAAGTTGACTCAGAGTAACCCTAGATAAATGTTTATGGAACCAGATTGCCTCATCTCTCTCCCTCAGTGTGGCTAGTAGATTTCAAATGTTGATCTTCTGACTAGCAGCCTAATGCCTAACCCACAGCACCATTGAAATTCAAAAAAATATATTATTACTATTATCCTATCTAACACAGGAATATAAAAAGAATGTGCCTGAAAAAATAAGTGTTCTTTGGGGTGGGTGGGGGGCAGTACCTTGCACATAGTATTTAATTAATGTTGACTATGATTACTTCTCCAGTGGGCCATAAGCTTCACAGAGGAGAGTACCATGTCCAGTTTTTGGTTCACAATGGTATATAAAATATAGCAGGAGTGAAAGAACATGAGCTAGTACGGGGCACCAGGTCAAGAAGAACAATGCCTTTTAGGGAAATGTCTTTAGATTTTATCCTATAAAAGATTGGAAGGAGAAGGGCAATGAGGATGCTGAGTAATGCTTGCTCTTTGGGCAACAAATCATAAAATAATTAGGAATGATTGGGCTAGGCTGCAGAAGAAACCCAATACGGAATTAATAATGGTGTATATTTTGGAATGGATGACAAACCCAGGGTGTGGTATGACACTGATGAACCATATAACTATCCTCTCATTCTTTAATATTTCCTCCCTTTACTATTATGGTTTTATTTGTTTTACCTCATTAATCATGATAGATTTGTATATGTTCATTTATATATTTAACATATTTCAGTACATAAAAGTCAAGATAGATAACCTTTCAGAAACCATAACAGAAGTAATGGTTCCCTCAGGGTATGGGAAGAGAAAGGAGGGGGGGAAGGGGGAGAATGGGGAGTTGATAGCATTGATGATTGTGTAACTCCTCACAATGGGATTAAAAAACAGAATTGTATGTGAATGGATATATTGGATGGTGTGAAGATATGGCAATAAAATTATTGTAAATAAATACACAATGGTGTATGTTTAAAAAGAAACAGCCAATCAAAACAAGGGAAGAAGTGAAGACCACAGATTTAAAAGAAAATGAAAAAAAATCGCTTCATCAGAACGTGGCACCTAATTCGATATGCAGGTAGAGGTAGGATAAGGGCAGGAAGACTCCTGCACACCTGGTTTAGGGAACTAGAAGAATGACGGTGCCAAAGAACAGGTTTGATGCACTTGTTGAGTTTGAGGCTCTCTGAATTTGAGGTGTATGTGGAACATATAGAAGCAGGTGATTTTTAAGGCAAACAAAATCAGAGATAGGTTGCCCAGAATGGAAGGAGAGAAAAGGTCATGAGATAACCATGAACAGAATCTTTACTGAATCAATACTGAGTGGTCACAAAAGGTGCCTGAGAAGGACCATATACAAGAAGGGTATAATGAGAAGAGACTGTTAGCAAGACTTCAATAGCTCCAAGAAAAAAAGCAGCTATCTAAATTTAACATCAAGGACTAGTAAGGCCAAGGCTATTCTGCCTACCAATTATGATAATGAAGTAGAAGGGACACCCTGAGAACTATTGCAGGGTCATGGTCTGAGTAAAAATGTTTTTAAGAAACCCTAAAACTTAAATATGTGGTATACACAAATAAATAGTTCAATAATCTTGGATGAGACGGAAGATGTATCTGAGAAAAAAGGTTAAAGAATTACATACATAAAGTAAGGTTCATGCAATAGAGGTCTGCAGAGCTGGCCCCAATCCCAACTACGTAGACACCCCACTCCCTCTCCCCATAAGAATTCACCTCAGAGGACAGCACTGAAGCTACAGCTCGGGGAGAAGGGCACATCTGATCAGAGAACACAAGAACAAACTAAGAGGGAAGGAGAATGGAACACATCCTGGCCCACCAAGCCATGAGGACGATATTCCTGCTCACAGCAGCCAAGGCACAAAGAGGACCATAGGGTCTGGCCCCACTGTGAGACATGATGTCCCTCACTGACCCATAGCACTACAAGGGACAACACTGTAGGCACAGTGCGGGAACTGTTCCCGACCACACCAGGGCAAAACACTAAGGATGTGCAACAGAGCAGCAAGGGGGGGCAAAGCAATGAAGTCCCCAAGGAATACCAAAAATGGACTTTGGGGTCAGGGCGTGGCACCCCATTAGATGGACTGGAAAACACTCCTAAAGGTCAACAAACAGACTTGGAACTATTTATAAGCTTTTCTTTTTGTTGTTGTTTTTCTCTTGTTTTTTGTGCGTATCCTTGTCTCTGTATGTCTATCTAGATAAAAGAGGTGGGATAAACAATCCTGAGGAGAAAACAACGGACCAACAGTTCAGGTGGTGGGGGTCAGGGAGGGGACGGGGACACAGGAGAGGGTGAAATGGGTGAAAGGAAGTGCTTAACATGCCTGGTAGGGTTTGATCAAGGGTAAAGTAACCAAGAGGAATTACTGAAACCCAAATGAAGGCCAAACATGATAGTGGGACAAGAGGAAAGTAAAAGGAAGTAAGAGGAAAGAAATAGGGCGGCAAAGGACACTTATAGAGGTCTAAATACAGACCCGCACACATGTAAATATACTTATATATACGATAGGGAAATAGATCTATGTACATATATATTTATATGTTAAGTATTAAGGTAGCAGACAGACATTGGGCCTCTACTCAAGTACTCCCTCAATGCAAGAACACTTTATTCTAATAACCTTGCATTCCATGATGCTCACCTTCCTGACACAATTGCTGAACACAATGCGGGTGCATAAGCAAATGTGCTGAAGAAAACTGATGGTGCCCAGCTATCAAAAGACATATAGCATCTGGGGTCTTAAAGGTTTGAAGATAAACAAGTGGCCTTCTAGCTGAAAAGCAACAAAGTCCAAATGGAAGAAGCACACCAGCCTGTGTGATCATGAGGTATCGATGGGATCCAGAACAAAAAAAAAATCATAATGTGAATGAGGGGAATGCAGAGTAGAGACCCACAGTCCATCTGTAGACAACTGGACATCCCCATACAGAAGGGTCACAAGGATGCCAGTGAGGGTGCTGTATAGCACCGATGAAACATACAACTTTCTTCTAGTTGTTTAATGCTTCCTCCATCCCACTATCATGACCTCAATTCTATCTTACAAATCCGGCAGGACCAGAGCATGCACATGGGTACAGATAAGAGCTGGAAACACAGGAACCCAGGACCGATAAACCCCTCAGGACCAATATTGAGAGTAGCCATCCAGGAAGATTAAGCGAAAGGTGAGGGGAGAAAGGGAGACCTGATCACAAAGATCTATATATAACCTGTTCCGGGGGCGTGGACAACAGAAAAGTGGGTGGAGAAAAAGATCGGTGCAAGGCGTGAGAAAAAAAATGTATAAATTATCAAGGGTTCGTGAGGGAGGGAGGGTAGGAGAGGGAGGGGGAAAATGAGGAGCTCATACCACGGGCTCAAGCAGAAAGAAAAGTCTTGAAAATGATGATGGCAACAAATGTACAAGTGTGCTTGACACACTGGATGTATGTATGGATTGTGATAAGAGCTGTATGAGTGCCCAACAAAATTTTTTTTTTTAAGTAAGGTTCACAGTGGTTTGTTTAGAACTTTTTACCCCCTGTGCGGGATATATGGATTCCATTCCTGGCCAGTGCATTTCAGGTGGAGAGACAAGCTATCATGGTGATTTATATGCTGTTATGACATTTTATAGGATTCAGAGAAGTTTCCAGACTAAGACAAACTAAGAAAAATAGCTTAGCGAGCTACTTCTGAAAACCAGCCAATATGAAAACTGTATGGATCACAAGTGTGATCACAACTGATCACAGGTATGACAAAAGCAGCGCTTAGTTCCATTGTGAAAATGGTCACCCTAAGTCTGAGGCTGACTTTTTAACAGCTAACATATGACGGTAGATATGAAGGTAAGTCACAACAAAGTATTGCTACAAAAAAATCATTAGCACCTTTAATATATAACACTAACAAATTGAAACTATTGTTTCTTAACATAGCTCGTATCCAGGTCTGTACACTTATGAAGGTGCTGCTTCCACGTCTCTGACCTTGCCCCCAAAGCACTCTGTCCTCTCTGACTCACACATCAAAACAGCCACTTGTACTGTCTTCCTTTTCAATATTGTTTAGCTTTAGGGACAAAAAGAAACCTGGAAGAGCAAGATAAGGACTACAGGATATATGAGATAAGGTTTCCCAGTGAATTCTAGAACAGCCCTTGTGACCCTTGAAAAATGGGCAGGTCATTGTCATGATGAAATTAATTCCTTTGTGCAACCTTCCTAGCCTTTTCTCACCAATTCAAGTTTCAACGTTCTTGAAATATAATAAGTCCTGATGATCATACTGAGTCCTTCGAGAAAACCTATCAAGTTTACCCCTTTGTCCTTACCTAATTAGCAATTTAAAACTTCATTTAAAAAAGACCAAAAAACTATCCCTTTGGCATTCCAGAGTACAGTCACCATAACATTCTGGCCTGAACTCTCTGCCTTGATTTCAGTGGGCCAGCAGATGCCCTTGGAAGCCACTATTTCTTATGATTGGCACCCTTTTGTGAAGGTACCCTAATGAGACTAAGACAAACTATTACTGACAGGACCTTCAGAAAGCGTTGCAATGAGATGCCCAGCTGTGCCACCGCTGTGGCTCCAAGGCCTAGCGTCTCCACAAGTCAACCGGTGGCAAATGTGGCTGCCCTGCCAAGCAGAAGAGAAGAGTACACCTGGAGTGCCAAGGCTAAAAGATAAAATACCATCAGTGCTGGTCAGATGAGACACCTCAAAACTGTCTCCCACAGCTTCAGGCTTGGATTCCATGCCAAACAACTCCTAAACCCAAGAGGGCAGCTGTTGCAACATCCAGTGCATCTTAAAGATTTCAGCCTTTAGTTGTGCAATAAATGTTCTCGCATTAAAAATGCATTAAAAAAGAACCACCACCACACATTTTGTTTTTAGGAATTTGAACCCTGGAAGTAACACTATTTTACATAAACCATAACGTAGTTCTCCCATTCTGTATTTCGTAGCCAAAAACGCTATATGCTGTCTATTTAGATACAATCTGCTGTTTGTACCACTGTATTATCCTAGCTTTTGTCTACCTTATTATCAGGCTTCCCACATTTGTACACTCTTCAAGTATCTAATTTCCTT